GTGTTAAGAGGTAGAACAGCGCCCTCTCTTGGTGGTTCGGTGTAATAAGTAAAGTGGACATGAGAACCACGATGCAGTTCTGAGAGAGACGCTCAAAAGGTGCTGTATCTGCTGTGAGAGCCCATGATTTGATCGGTGCATGTTCTGTTTTATACAGATTAAACAGCGTCAAAGTTCACCTCGTCTCCTGACCATCTTTTAAACACAACGCAGAAATAAACTATACGAAGAAACAGAAACAGAACGGGTTTACTCTTATTTGRACCGAGTTGGACTAAGTTACGGCCAAGTTCAACGCGGTTACACAAGAACCGCATCGAGTTCTGTAGAGCCGAGCTTAAAGTCATGGATGCACTGCCACCACGCTCCAAGCAGGACACTAGCTGTGTTTCCGTTCAATTTTTATTTGAATTTTGAGAAAATTTTTAAACTTTCCCAAAAAGGAAAAACAGAAGAAATGCCAATCAGACATGTTTCCATCAACTGGCTTGAAGTGAATCAGCCAGGCTACACACAAGGCTGTAGTAAACAGGAAGTAAAGTCACACTACACATTTCAGGACAATGCAGAGAAGTTATCAGGAACGTGTTGCTACTATCAGTAAAGTTGTAATTATTCTGTCATCAACTAGTTTTGGTGATGTTACGTGCTGTCTGGAGACTTAGAGAAAGAAACGGGAATAACTGAGAAGACTCTGACAGCTGGGGGCGGGTCCAGCTGCATTCGCTCTGGTACCGCTACTGGACAGACAGTGGGAACAGCTGATCAACATGTGAGGTAAATGTTCTCCACGTTAGAACTTATTCAGCAAATGTGTTTCCATCTCTCCTTTTCTGCAATAACTCTTTTTCAAAAAATCCAAAAAGCACCTCAAGCGAGTGTATCAACTTTTTGCGAATTAGAGGAAGTTTTGTCGAATGGTTTCCATTCACCTTTTCTGATGCTATAATTCAAAATGCAGATTAAAAAACATTGATGGAAACACGGCTACTGATATGTTTACAACACAATATTAACTCCATGGCCTTATTTTCTGAGTTTTGTGATTACTCAGAACGTCTGCTCAACCTGGCACACTGTGAAGACCACCTATGATCTGATTGGTTTTTGAAGTTGTGGTGAGCTTGTCTCCAGTGTGGGGGAGGCCTTAAAAAGCTGTCAGCCCAGTCACACCCGGACCATCAGGTTTATTAGGTTTGTTACTGTGGATGTTTAAACTTCTTGTAATTGAAAAACCAATATGTCAACTTGGTGAGTCTTTGGTACTTGGACTGTTTAAACACTGCCAGATAAAAGGAATGTCAGACAGAGAAAGTTCATGTGACGAGAGCGCTGCTTGTTAAATAAAGCAGATCAGTTCAGTCAGCACATCTCTGGTGAGTAAACATTCAGGCGTCTCTGCTTTTCTGCTGACGGACTGAGAAGGAGCTTTGAAGTTTCGCTCTGAGCTGTAAACAGTTTGGCTTCAACGCATCCAGTCTCAGGTGACGTCTAAATAAAACCCCAGTCAAATCCTCATTACTGAATAAAGGCTTCATTCTCTGTCCAGAACATTTACATTAATGAGGAAAACAGTTTTTTTTTCTTTGCTTTGCACCTGCTTGTTTACACCCACATGCTGACCAATCTAATTTTAAACTGTTTATTCCTGTGGGAGACTCAACAGAAATATATTTTTCCATCTGGTACGCAAATACACAAACTCAAAGGTAGTATCTCACCAGGTTGTGACTGTAGAAGAAACACATTTTCAGCTGCAGTCTGACTGAAATCTGAAAAGGACCAAGTTACTCACAATACAAAGCTATTTTTTTAAATAATGGCTTATTTTGGTAAAACTGCATTCATGACTGTACACATAATTTAGTAGCCCACCTTGGCCCTCTTTGTACTCACCTGGACAGTTAGCTCATGTTTATGATATAATTCACTGAAGTGGACTAATATGAAGATATTTTTTGGATGCATGCAACAACCCTGCAACTGTGTTATGAGAAAATTTGTTGCATACATTTTTTTATCATATTCAAAATTCAAGCAAGTCTGCCAACTTCAGTGAGCCACTGAGATAACCTCAAAACTCGTTGGAGAAGTCCTCAAAAAGTTTCTTCATCAACAGAGATTTTACCCTAAACCCTGACTTCTCAGTCATGAAGACCTGAGTCCTGCTTGAACAAATGACAGTTTTTGTTCAAAGCACCAAAATTCTCAGGTGTTTATGGTCAGCAGTTCATTTGTTTGTGGTTTGATTATATAAATACTAACTATAAGTTAGGCCTGGGTGGGCTAAATATTTTGGAGTAACGACGGACATTAGAAGACTAATTTTAGTGTCTTCAGTCTTTCTGACAAGATTAGCTGCTTCATGCTGATGAGTGCATCTAACGTACACATAGCTCAACTCGATAACACAATGAAGTAACTATGCTACCTTCAGTTGTGATAATTGCTGTATATATCAGAAATTTTGGAGGGGGGCATGACGTGAATCAGGTAGTGGGGAAAATTAAAAACGTTCACCCTGCAGGTCTTAGATCAGCATTATATTTTTGGATTGGAGCTTTGAGTGGACGTTTCCATTCCAACACGTTAGTATTGACACAGTCCAGCGCTAAATTTAGCATCTTCTGTTGCTGTAAATTTTCAGTCATCAGGACGTGAGATGAAAACAACAAGGACGCAGTTGGACCTCTGTTCTGTAGCTGAAGATGTGCAGAGTATATATATATAATATATA